TTTTTTTTTTTTTTCCCCTCATCCCTTTCAAACAGGATATACTCGAGGTATGTACTTTTGTGGTGGGAAAAATGGCTTCTCACAGGGGGGTACCCCATGTGCACTTCTTCCCTGTACGTGATTTCTTCCATAGTGTTGGACATTGCCTGTAAGGGTCCTTCTCCCCCGTCGTGTCGACCATCTCTGCGACGGTTGTTACTTGTGTGCACGCCCTTGGAGTTCGCTCGCTCGTACCCACATCGGTTACTGCCATACCGGGGACTTCCAACCACCACCCACCCACCTTTCGCCATCTCCCACCGATCATCACTGCACAGTTCATGTCCTCTGACCAAATCGAAACTATACGTAAACAGGTTTGTCCTTACGGCAACGCAGTAGTAGCTGTCCCTTAAACACTCCACCAGGGAGAGATACATATCCTGAAGATGGACCAGAAGGAACGAATTGTGCATGGCGTAGTAGTAGGCATTTTTCTTTACAATTGTGTAAAACCGTTTCTCCATCGTTCTGCGAAGTGAGGTGCTTTCACAAGGACCGTTCTTTTTTCGCATGCACAGAAAACCAATAAGCTGATTAAATTTACAAATGTGAGACGTGGCCATATAGTTGTACGACTTGAGCTCCAATATGTTAACAAAAAAGCGGAAATTGTCCTTCACGTATTTTAAAATTTCCTCATTTGAATATACATGCGCGTCTTTCTTATTTTTTTTTTGTTTCACAACTAGGTGACTCCTCTTGAGGCACATCTCCACGTACATGTAGAGGAGGGCATTTTTCATGTTCCAGACATGCTGACACTTGGGGTCCACCTTGGCTAACTCGTTAACGAAATGATTCACTCGCTCGTGTAAGTGGAAGGTCCTAATCTCCCTCAGAAGACTCATCAGACGGTAGTAATGGTTGTAGCAGTTGGTGTTGCATAGCAGGTATATGCACACGCAGGTTACGGTGAAGAGTCTATCTGGGTTAGGCTTCTCTTCCCCGGGGATCCCTTCTTCCTCCACACGCCCCTCCATTGAAGTATCCAAGTCGGCGCGCTTTCTCTTTCCTATAGTAGATCCCCAACCGCACGCCTTCCTATGCTTCATTTTGTGCATCAGTTTCCAGAGCGATGCATTCTTTAAACGTTCGTGTTTTTCCTTGACCGAAAAGTTTTTTCCCTCCCCCGCAAATTCACCTGACCTGTTCAGGCAATTAAGGCAGTTATCATTGCTCAAGCAATTTTGCGAACTTTTCCATTTTGCACACACCTCGCTGAGGTAGCGAAGCGACTTTTTACACAAAATGAGAACTGTTTTTTTTTCCTCTCCTGAATGCAACTGCGCATTGGCGCCCTCTTGGATGAGATGCACGTGGCACAAACCAGTGCGCAGAAACTTGTGTGCAGCTCGCAGTCTGAACTCGTCACATCGTCTTCTCCTCAGTTGCTCATAAAAATTTTTGTAATGGTCGCAATTTTTTTTTTTTTTTTTTCTTCTGGCTGCCTTTGTGGCGAACTGGGAACAACGTCCCCCTACATGGCGTTTTCGTCTTCTTCCCTTCCATGGGTCCGTCTTTGTGATTAGAAAAAAAAACAAAATCAGGAAAAACAGTTTGTCCTTCCTTTTGATAATTCCATTTTCGCGATGAAAGAGTGATGTTACGTATGAAGCGAATTCTCCAAAATACTTCTTCTCCTTCCCCCTCCCATATTTATACAACAGAAATAAAATTTTTAAAATGAAGACATTCCATCGGCTGCAATTTTCACTTGTGCGTCCGCTATTTTTGCTCAATTGAGGCTGCTCCTCCGGGCTTGTATCTTCCTTTTTATTGGAGGACACATTTTGTTGCCCCTCACGAAGTACAACTGTGCAAAGAAATTTCCTCACCTCCTCATCACCATGCACCCCTCCGAAATGAATAACTTTGGAGTGAAACAGATTGCTTACACTTAACTCATCACAAGAGCAAATTTCTATTTCATAATTTGTGCCCCCTTTAGAAAAGAACAAGCTACGAAGCCTGCTCACCACGTAGTATGTCAAGGCTCCCTCTAAATTTTTGACCGACGTTATCCTTTTCTTGCTCCCTGACAAGTAGGATACTAATTTTACCATCCCTGTGTCCTGGTTTTAAATAAATGGGAAGGCGAGGGAAGGCAAAGTCCACCAGCTCGATTGGGCACGCTTAAAACAGGGAAAAAAAAAAAAATTTACTTATTGTGTGCTGGCTTATCACTACATTGCATCCCTCATTTGGTGGTAGGGTTAGGGGTGGACTCATAATACCACATTACAAACTAGCACTTTGGAAAAAGCTTGACAAGGGTTGCTCATCTGGTTTGAATCTAAAAGGGGGATGCTTGTCCGTGTAGTATACCTTACTCTGTTCCAAGCAGCTGGGTAAAGCCGCTAAGGCGCTCTAAAAGGAGGCTGACTTTGTCAGGAAATTTGATGGATGTACATAGGTGCTGCATATGTGACAATACACAACAAATGCGGCATGTAACGGGGCGGAGGGGGTAGCCAAGTCAAATGGAAGATTGGAAATGTTTAGGGGAGTGGGTGGTATCTCCTCTTCGTGAACAGGCAATCTTTGTAAAAAAAATATTATTCTCCTTTTCTATATTCATCATCGCGCAGATGCATGGTTTGAAAAGTGGTAACTTTTTTTTTTTTTTTGCTGGTCCTTCGATTTGCGGTGTGCAGGAGGGGTGTAGTGCCCGCAAAGGAGAATGTGTGTAATATGTGGTGGGATCAAGGGTTGCTTTTTAAGGGTTAGATTGGCCACAGCTGGTCAGTTCATTCACTTGTTATCATGTGACTTATCATGATGTGTCACCTGGTCCAACGATCAAATGGAGCAGTGTCACTCTGCTACGTTCTGTGACTTTGCCGCCGTCTGGGTCCACGTAGGGAGCCTGCATCCCCTTGGACACCCACGCGCCGCCTCGATATATCAACACAGGTCATGTCCACCGGGGTGCATTTTATTTTAATGCAACTGGGATAGTTGTCATGAGTACCGAATTATACACAACACCGGATAAAAGAATGTGTAAGAATGGCACACTGGATTCCTTCACCAAAGTGTGTTTCGAATAGTACATTCATTTTGGTGAGTCCAATTATTGTTCATTCTTGGGGTAGGCAAATGGAATAATCCCGTGGTAAAAATAAAATAAGAGGCACCTCACGAAGTGTCTTGCGATCATGTGCACCATAGCATGACTGACCACTGTATGGTGACGAAATGGAACAGCACAATGCTCAGGATGACTCAGTAGACGTAGTAAATTGCCTGGTCCAACATTGATACATCTCTCCATACACACTTTGTTGTGTCATTGGTTTGCCTTTCATTTTGAGTGGTGGCACATTTGAGCGGCTCAAAATGAAACTTTGCAAGGAAGGAAAAGCAAAATGAAGAAAATGAAGTGGAGAAAAAAAAAAAAAAAAAAAAAAAAAACATCCATATGCATTTTTGTAAACATGCCTACCACCCTACCATCACGAATGTAGTCAAACTGCGACGAAGAAGTGCATCTTACATAAAGGTGGCCCCCCGGTTGTAGAACACTAAGGGGATGTAGTCCTTTTTTTTTTTTTTTCCCTCACCATTATTTTCCGATTTTCCCCCAAAATGTGCATGACCAAGGGTTCATCTGAGTCACTATGGATCTTGTCATATAGACAACACTTAATTCGAAAAAAAAAAAAAAAAAAAAAACGGCTATGAAATGTGCTGAAAGGTGAAACGAACAGTGGTTCACACTTTAATCTGTACAGAGTTAATAGTTACCATCTTTAAATAGAACAACAAACGGCGGGATTTTCACATCACTAGGAAAAATACCTCATGGGAAGAACCCCCCCCCCCTCGCAATATGAAGCCCCCTCTCCCTTGGATGTTACTCTTCTCTTGGCTATGCTGTACTAATGGTTAAGACCTAATCTGTGCTCGTCGAATGGCGCACGCGTGCATGCATGCGCATGGGCATGCTAATGCTGCTACCTGTGAGGGATGCGCGCCCATGGTAATGTGCCTGGCGGGAGCTTCCTGAACGAGCCTAATGGAGCCCCTCCACGTGGGGGAAGCAGAACTGTGCTAATCCTTGACGGTGATTTGGGGCCCATTTTGATGGTGACTTTGTATTCTTATTCCTTTTTTTTAACCACAAAAGTCATGTTAATTAATTTGTGTAATGTGAAAACTTTCATACGTGACTGGTGGTAGAAAAAGAAAAGGCAGTGTAATGTACTACATTGTGCTACACCAATGGGGATGGCACCTTTCGACTCAAGGTACATTCGCTCGTAGCTGCACATGCGTGTTCGCGTCTCACCACCGCTTATCATATACCCACACGAGCGTGAACACACACAACTGCCGCGACCTTTGTGCAGGCACGGAATTTGCTGATAGACCCTCTAGAAGGAAGTTGAAGTTGTTTAACCCATTCGGTAATCCTATAACGGACTGAGCAGAATGGCAAAGTCGCCTCTTGATACGAGGAGAGAGCGGCAAGGTGTTGCTCGTTTGTCCATTCGCGTACCTATGTGTCCTCCTTCATCTCATTTTTTATGCCCCTTTGCTTACTCCGAAGCGAGCTTACGTTTAGGGAAAAAGAAACGAAGAAACAGTAGGACGCGAAACTGAAGTTGCAGTGAATCAGTTGACAGCTACAGCTCCCATGCAGATTTGACAGAAGACAATAATTTTTACGGCATCCAGCTGTATGACTCTGATTTTGATGTAGAAAATAGTGAAACGGAAAATGACTCAACGAGCAAATCCACTTTAAGCTCCCCCTCAAAAGAAGAACCCCCAGATGGTCCCTACAATATGGGATCCATGTTACAAACTACTCTCCCTTCATTGGGGGAGGGGCAATTTGCTATAAGAGATGAAAAGGGCAGTCATAAAAATATATCAAGTGAAGACCCAACTGAAGATGATTCGGACGCGACTGTGTTAAGGGGGTGTATAAAGAGTATTAACCCATTTGTTGTTCTCCCCTCGTCGCTCTCAAATGGTGATCTACCTTTATTACTGAGGCGGAGAGATCACACTAGAAGGAGCCAATCAAAAAAAGACACTCTTAAAAAATGGTCTGCGAAATTATTAAGAGGCGTTTCTCCTTTTAGACGAAGCTTCGTTGGAAGGGGTAACAATCGTGGTAGTCCTCAGAATGGTTGTGAAGGAACAAGTGCAGATGCTGCTGTAGCGGAGGGGCCTTCCCATGAAGGTGATAGCAAAAAAAAAAGAGCCAAAAATGGAGGACTGGCAAAGGTATGCAACAGGGGGAATATTTGATATGACCGAAGAAGATTTAAAAGCGTTAATAAAATTTTCTCGAAAGGGGAAGAATTTAGAGACCCTGCTTTATATGGAGGTAACTTTAGACGATGAGAATGGAGAAGCAGACGGAGGAGATGAACTGGAGGAAGAAAACGACGACTCGGTCAAAACAATATACCTATCATGCCTTACAGATTTAACACGTGACGAGCACACGGGTGTAGTTGGGAATCGAGGCCGCGAGGGAAAAACTGTTGAACAGGCAAGCGATCAAGTGCATACCTACAGTGGAGATCATGATAGTGAGAAGAAATCTGAACTGAAGCGGTTAAACGCACTCTTTAGTATGTATAAACAGAAGAAGGAGGATATAAGAAAAAAGAGGTTGAATCGCAAGCATTCTGCGCACAAATTCAATAATGATTGTGAATCGCATCCCAATATTCCCAACGAAGACAACTATATGGATATGAAAGACGTGACAGTGGAAGTAAGTAAAATATTAGATAATGTCAGTTTAACTTCACTTCCTATTGAATTTGTCGATTAGTGAAACTGGCAAATGGAGTGAAGCGTGTGCCAGGTAGCACATGTGCAGAAGACGGTACCAAATTGGGGGGGCGCAAACAAATAAAATAATAATAATAAATTCAAATAAAAGGAGACCAAATTAAAGGAGTGGACAAGCGGGGGAGGAAGATTCCAATTGGAGCCACCACGCCGAAAGTGCCATTCGTTAAGACCTTCCCCTCCGTGTCCCCCCCAATATAGTTGGACAAAATATTTACCAAGTGTTCCTCCCCAAGAGAAATAACACATATGCTGCAAAATGGTACAGAGCTTTATGAACATGATGTGACGGAATATTCATCTCTCCATAAAAAAGAAAACTTCCCTTTTTTAACATTTGACGTTCCCATAATGATGCAGAGTTTGATAAAGAATCCGAAAATTTCTCACCCCAGGGGTTGCATAATTGCCGCAACAAACAAAAGTATTGTAAAAATTGCGTAAGCGTGTTGTTCTTCTATTTTTTAAAGCAGATTTAAACAAAAATTTATATGTGAGGCCGTGCTAGCTAGCTACGTGAACTAGCTATTTTTTTTTTTTTTTTTTTTTTTTTTTTTTTTTTTTTTTTTTTTTTTTTT